GGCTGTTTGAAGTCCCGTTGCCAGAGCGACGCAGAGCGTCACATCCTGGCGACGGTGGGTGCAACGCATGCAGCCATCCCCGCGGCAAGGCTCCTGCCAGGAAATACAATTCCCCCGCCGGAATTTGGTAAGCCTAGTCAACAGTGGGAGGGCTTCTAATGTCCTGGCCCCACTGGTGGACCTCCTGATGGCACTGGTATTTCTGGCCACTGTGTGATACAGAGTGTTGGGCTGGATGGGCCTTTGGCCTGATCCAACATTGGCGTCTCTTATGTTCTTATGTTCACTAGACAACCCACTTCAACCTGGAGTGACTGGAAGCAGAACAACACCCCTGATCTGCCTAAAAAAAACCCCCTCTCAATCCCTCTCTGACTCAAACAGCAGTCAAACAGCCCCCCACCCCACTATAGGACCTTTTCCCCTCAAAAGTTCTGAGGCTTCTGACTGGCTGTTGCTGGCTTTCGCTATCAAACCACAAGGGTACAAAGGGGAGATATGAAAAGGGCTGATACGTCTGTCACAGTCAGACAGAAGAAGAAATCAATGGCTTGTTCCATACTGTCGTTTTTGTCACTCGTTTGTCCCTACTGCTTCAGGGGTCCCCCCCCCCACAATGTGTTTTGCTCTCTCTAGTAGTCCCAGTGGGAGCAAAACGCATGTGGAAGGGGTGGGGTGGGGAACACTAAAGAACAGGGACAAACGAGTAACAAAAATGAAAGTGCGAAAGTGGCCAATGAAGGAGATGGGGAAAGCCCCTCCTCCCAAGAGCTCAGTATCCACTACAGCAGGGGCCCGGGCGCCGGATCAGGCCCCCAGAGGGCTTCCATCAGGCCCGCAGTGGAGCTGGGCATCTCCTGCTTCCAGTTCTGCTGCTGCTGCTGCATCATAGCTTGCTTCGCCAGACTCTCTTAATCACTCAGTCATTTCATGTTTTAACCTGGATCCTAGACCCAGAACTCTGAGCAGGAGATTTGTGTGGTGAATGTCAATAAATCAAAAGTAGGTTTGCAGCTTACAGAGCCAATGTTTCAAGCATGTTTTTATTTTAAGTAAAACAAAAATCTTTGTGTTTGTGTCCTTTATAAAGTTTATATCTCTGCTACCTGGCATTACATTTTATGACACACATGGCCTGGCCCAACAAGGTCTCATTTATGTCAGAGCCGGCCCTCATAACAAATGAGTTTGACATCCCTGCACTATAGGACCGTAGAAAGGGACTGATTTGTGTAATTTCAAATTCACTCATACATACCTCCCCCCATCTGCAATTTCCTGCAAGCCCCTAACATATTTAACCCAAAAGGAATATGGGACTGAAAGAAAGGAGGGTGAGTGCTGAAATAGAAGTAAAGGAGAGGGGACAGGAGAGATGTAAACTTACCTCAATGTAAGCTGTGTCATTGTTTGCATCTTTGATATGTGGGAACCAGTCTCGAGGAGGTTTAGAAAGGTGTTTTGATTCTGTGACAAACCATAGCAGCTTTGGCCAGCCTTAGGAAACACAGAGATAGTGGGATTATTTTAAATATTTGTTGTTCTTTTTGAGCTTAAATAGCATAATATTTTACTAGGCTTGACCGCCGTGGGGCCAAAGTATATTTGGTCAATTGGCTAGACAAATATTTGTATAGCATTAATTCTATTAGAGATAAAAATGAGGCATATTTTACTTGCAAAAAACAAAGTAGTTCACCATTATTGTGAAATAATGAAGTTATTTTGTTATAATTTTAAAAAATTACTTTGGCAATGTCAGGTAAGGTTTATATGAACAAATGATTAACTGAACAGATCTTCTTCAGCTTTTATCTTGGAATACCAAGGTTAGCCTACAATGAATTTTAGTGAAACTAAGCTAGAAATAAAGTAAAGAAGCAGCAACTACTTTAAAAAATTCAGTATAGAAGGCAATTGTGCTCAGTGGGAAAGAATTCAACTGTTCGGAACTGCCTGTAGTTGCATCAGGTGGCCAGTAGGGGAAGCTCTGCTGTGCTGCTAGGTTTGTCTCCATCCAAAGCAGCATAGTAAGGACTCTCACCAGGCTAGCCCAATCCCATCAGATCTCGGAAGCTGAGCAGGGTTGGCCTTGGCTAGTATTTGGAAGGGCAAATTCCAAGGAATACCAGGCAACCTCTGAAGCATCTCTCGCCTTAAAAACAAGTCTAGCTCACCACCTAGTGGTGCATAACACTAAAAAAGAGCTAGAACTCTGGCTGCCAGACAATCTTAGGATCTCCTGGCTATTCTACACATATTGCCATATGATAATTAATTATTAGCATGGTAAGGAGGTAAGTAGCACCCCTGCCCTAGTCAGTGAATGGCACATAATGAAAAAAAGGTACGCTGCTAGTTACGTAATGGCATTCTTTGCTTCATGGGATATTTGTCAGGGGTCAAATGGCAGGTGACCAACTGAACAGTCACAGCTGACATTCCACCCATCACCTGATTGCATGCCAACCCTATTCTTTTGCACAGGTGTGCTCAAAAATCAATTTTTAAACATGTTAACACTCACACAATTAATTTTTTAAAATACATTAAGCACATTTAGTATGGTTGATTATTATAGTAGCCCTTTGTTCTTTAAAAGACTTACTCCTACAGTCTCCACAATCTGCCCAATGTGGTTAATGTAAAACAAAACAAGTAACACAATTTAAAATAAAAAAATTATAACAAAATTAATGCGGTAATCAACTAAAATCCATCAGTATTTTCAAGCAGAGGTACAAAACTCAGCATGAAAACAGATATGAAAGCAAAAACATAAGCAGGGAAAGAACAGAGCAGCAGGTCAAACTCAGCTTAGGAGAACAAAAGCATTTTGGCCTGGTATCTAAAAGCCGATAATGAAGGCACCAGGTGAGTTTCAAGGGGGAAGGAATTCTACAGGTGGGGCCCAGGCCTCTGAAAAGACCCCACCTCTATGCATGGCCCTCCTCACTTCCATGGATGGGGGGCACCAGGAGTAATGCTTGAGAAGACTTTAGATTGATGGGCCGGACAGTATAGGAGGAGGTGGCCCTTCAGGCACCCCAAGCTCCAACCAGTACTTTGAAGATCAGTAAAACTTTCTGTGATGCAGCATACATGAAAACCAAGCTACCTTATTGGGGACTGTTGAGAATTACCTTACCTTTAAACTGTGGTATTTCCCCTGTAGGGCTCTTAGGCAGTCCTTTATGGCATGCATCACTAGTCAAGGCCACAGTAACGCCACAGCTTCCGAGCAAGAAGCCAATCTGTTGACTTCCTGCATCCTAGATGAAGACAAGCAACAAAAGAAGCCATGAAAGTAAGTCAGTCCCTGAGGTAATAAGCCTACTTGGACACAACTATGTAAAACACACATACACCAAACACTTTCAATTGCCCAGTCAAAGGTTTTTAAAGACTCCGGTCAACTGCTACAGCCTGAACAAAGCCCTTTCTTTTTCATGCTTCAATGGGGTTTGGGGTAGGGTTGCCAACTCTGAGTTGGGAAATTCCTGGAGATCTGGGGGTGGAGCTGGGGGGGGCAGAATGTGAGGAAGGGAGGGACTTCAGCAGGGTATAACACCACGCAGTCCACCCTCCAAAGCAGCCATTTTCTCCCGGGGAACTGATCTCTGTAGTCTGAAGATTGCTTGTAATTCTGGGAGCTCTCCAGGCCCCACCTGAAGGTTGACAACCCTAGTTTGGGATGTTTCAGGGTTGGGGGAGAACAGAATCTCAGGTGAAACCCCCCAGAACAAAGCAAAATCTTGACAAACATCTCCATTTGTAAGCTTGGTAGTTCATTTGTCCAAATGTCAGAAGGTTGCAGGAAAGAGGAATGGGGCAAAGGCCATACTAGCCAGTGGTCAGGGACTGAGACCCATGTCTTCTGCTTAGTCTAGAACGCCTCTCTTATTTTTCATCAGCAAGCTCACCTAACCCCAACTCCCATAGTTTTTGTTCCATGTCCACTTTATATTCCGTCAACAGCTCCTCCCGAAATAATCCAGAAAGCAAAATGATGCATATGTATGAGCAGAAGTGCTTTATATATGCACTGAGGCTGAGGACATTTTTCTCCCCCTATTGTGATACTTGAATTTGGGAAAGGTATGTGTTATGTAAGGAAATGGATTGGTAAATGGTTCAGAACAGACAAAAGGAAGTACTATGTCACAACACTGATCCATTAATGCGATTCATATTCACAAGACATGGCCTAGATGGATTTGAAAAGAGGGAATGGATAAATTTATGGGGAATCAGTAGTATACCACTTCTGAAACTTGAGATTCCATTTAGCATAATAGCTAAACTGAATTTCTAGTTTCAGAGGAAGTATACCTCTGGATATCAAATAGTAGGGACCAATAGTGGGGAAGGACTGGTTCCTTCACCCCCTGATGCTGGGCTTCCCAGACCCATCTGAACACCTGCTGTTAGGATGAGAGTGACGAGGGTGATCGGGAGCCTGCAGACTAAGCCCTATTAGGAAAGGCTGAGGGACTTGGGAATGCTTAGTCTGGAGAAGAGGAGGTCAAGGGGGGGGAGGGAGGACACACATGATTGCTCCCTTTAAGTATCTGAAGGGCTGTCACTTAGAGGAGGGAATGGGAACTGTTCCTGTTGGCAGAAGAGGATAGGAATCGCAATCATGGGTTTAAATTAAGGGCGGGAAGGTACTGGCTGGATATTAGGAAAAACTTTTTTTACAGTAAGAGTTGTTCAACAGTGGAATCAGCTGCCAGCTGAATACTTGTCAGGGATGCTCTAGGCTGATCCTGCATTGAGCAGGGAGTTGGACTAGATGGCATGTATGGCCCCTTCCAACTCTGTGATTCTATGATTCCATGCTGAACTACATGCTCCTTGTCTGATTCTAATAGGATTCCTCTTACACAGCCAGAGGATGGTATTGGATAGATTTATGCAGTTCTGAACAAACAATCCAACCCCACACTCGTTGCATACTTTTCTCTTTCCCTCTGTGTACAAACCCAATAAGCACTTCCTAGTGGGGAAAAGCTGAATCAGGAAGGTGATGCGGCTGGTGGTTGTACCAGAGGATGCATGATTCAACGAAAACAGTCGATTTTATAAAAACAGCACTAATATACATGCAAACTTCCCCATGCATCTGCTCAAGGAGTACCAGAACACAACACATTTCCACTTTAAAAGATCGAGAGCATATTACACCCAGAAACTGATTTGAAAGCAGAATCTAGAATTTTTGTGCCAGAATTAAATACTATGTTCTTAACACAAGATGAAGAAATAGATATGTATTAGAGGAGTAAAGCAAACTGGAAGAGTGAGGAAAAAACCCTGTGGCCTTTGAAGTCATCATTATGTTGAGGTGACGCTTTTATACACAAGTCTATGTTTTCCCACATTGGGTCCAATTCAAGTTGTTGTTGTTGTTTTTTATAAAATACATAGTTACACCGATAAAAGCTATCAAAGCTAGATAAAATAATGGCATGACTTCCCATTCTTTGCACTAGGCTTTTCCACACTCCAATTTCAGAATATATTATACTGATGTTTTGGCATATGCTGGTTTTGAGCGACATGGTGGGATGAGAAACTAAGCCATAATAACTTGCATAACCTATTCAAGTTCAGACATCCAACAAGTTGTCAACTTATTTGCATTTTCTGTTTATCAAGAATTAGAGATTTATTTCCAGCTTGGCAAAGAAAGACATACTTTTGCAAGAAAAGTCTTCAGAAATGAGCTCTCATTTGGTTTTGCTTCTATGAAAATCCAGACAGAAGGAGGAGTCCCCTTTTTAAGATAAATAGAAAGAGACAAGAGGATGAAATCATGCCATTTGGGGAGAGTTCTCTGCATGCTCTTCTATCAGTAGGTTTTAGAGTGCCTGAATAGGCTACGGCAGAACTACAACGTTTAAAGGCATTCATCAATTTAGGCAGGTAAAAGTGCACCTAAGAAGTCTAAGATAGATGTTAGAAGCCTACCACTAATGTCTTTGTTACTTCCTAAAGATTCAGAAGATGCTAAAACTGAAATAAAGTTATTTTCATGGCTATGAAATCTAGATGCCAAAGTCACCATTTACAAGCAATGTCTCTCAGTTAGCCAGGCATCTTAACGTTGATTAGGAGACTGCAAAATTCAGCATATGTCACCACAGTCTGTTTATCAAGATTTTGCTCCTGCCTTATCCAAAGGCAAATTAGAGTATCTAATTTTATCTTCTTTGCCCAAAGCCACTGGCTCAGTGAGGATCTGAACCTAACCCTTCTGTTTCAAAATTCAGTTTTACTACTCAGTCTTGTCAAGAAGCGGGTACAACTGAATTTACTGTACAAAGCTCACAGTGGGGCCCAGAGTGTGGGGCCCAGAAAGGAAAGACACACAGCGTGAAAAGTTCACCCAAGTTTCATGCAACTTGAACTGCACTGAGCTAGACCCACAAAATCCTCTCTTGGCAGCCCAACACACACATACATAAATCTTATTTCCCCCACGGAATGATGGTAACTCTCAGAGATGCGTGGCTTTATATGAAACCAAGCGCTTTCAATGCAGATATTCATCAACTGTGACTCTGCAGAGGTTCAGGTTTAACTGCAGAAACACAAAGGCATCTTTCCATGAAGACGGTCTTCTCCCGCCAAAGGATTTTCCCACTATGCCTGCCTTCCCCCACCACTTTGTCAATAGGAGTTCTCCTGGTTCATGAAATGTCTGAAGCACATATACAGTCAGAAGTGTATAAACTACACTATTAGACAGTCTAGCTTACTGAAAGGTTGTGATGTTTATTCCAAAACCAGGTAAGTATCTCCCATTCAGAAGTCTTAAACCTCTTTCAAAGGATTACAGAAACAGTTTTTCTAGCGTGAGATGGAAAGAATACACACACACACACACACTTCACCATGACTTCTTTAGTACAGTTCCTATAACTCCCAGAGAAGAAGAAGAAATAGCTGGATTTATACACCACCCTTCACTCAGAGTCTCAGAGAGGCTCACAATCTCCTTCCCTTCCTCTCCCCACAACAGACACCCTGTGAGGTAGGTGGGGCTGAGAGAGCTCTTTGAGAACTGCTCTTGAGAGAACAGCTCTGAGAGAACTTGTGTTTGACCCATGGTCACCCAGCTGGCTGCATGTGGAGGAGTGGGGAATCAAACCCGGTTCTCCAGATTAGAGTCCGCCAATCTTAACCACTACACCAAACTGGCTCTCTAACATGTACACTAGATTTTTCAGCAAACATTTAGTGGAGGACACATTCCATATTTCTTCATATTCTAAGGTTTCAGAGCAGCTTTATATTGCTACGTGCTCAGGGATCTTATCCCCAGAGAGGCTTGTTCCCATATAATTTATAGAGAACCCTTCCATCAAAAGCTGAGCAATATGACATTACAGCAATTAATGACACAGGGCAACCAGATAGGCTTTTAAGTGAACATGACAATTGCCAGGCACAAAATGTATCTGTCCTATCCATCACCTCATACTTCTAGTATGATTCCATCTCTAGCCAATAACTGACAAGTCAGCCGAATCAACAATTGGTCTGAACTGAAGACACAAATGAACTTATACCTACCAGGGACTAAGGCTACTTGCAGAGGCCTGAGAGAACTAGTTCCCAAGCAATACCTTTAAGAGGGGGTTTAAAAATAACTCATTGTACAACAGAAGCCTATTAGGCCGAGAAACTGAACGGGGAAGTTTTAAACAAAGAAGATGGCATAGGAAAGGTCACAGGGCTATTTTTGGGCAGGAACGCACAGGAATGGAGTTCCGGCTGGCTCCTGAGTTGGCCACGCCCAGCAGGAACTCATTAGCGTAATAGGGCACACTCAACAGCAGACACTCATTAGGATTGGCTACATTTGGGATGTGTGGTCTAACATGCAAAAGGTTCCTGCTACAAAAAAAGCCCTGGGTTTTGACAACAAACAAGGTAAACAAAATAACAAGCAAAAGGTAGGTGTGGCTGGATGACAACACTTCTGGTGACATGGGGGTGTGGCCTAATATGCTAATGTGCTGTCAGGGTGTGGCCTACTATGCTAATTAATTTCTGCTGATGGGTGTGGCCTGTTATGGTAATGAGTTCCTGCTGGATGTTTTCTACCAAAAAAGCCCTGGGAAAGGAGGTATGGACAAAGCAGAGGCCAACCAAAGGGAAGCTGAGAAAATGGGACTTGTACACAGATGGATGAAAAATCAGCACGGGGCAAGACTGTGGCATGAGGCAGCAGGGAAACAGGTCAGTTAGCTTATTTGCAATATTTGTACCCAGCGTTTAGGTCCACAAAACGCTAAACAAAAAGAAAGCCACAATAAATTCTGTATCACAAAAAGAAGAACTGATTTAGAAAATTTACATGCTGTCACTCCAGAGGCCTGCCCAAGGCAGCTTCCAACTAAAAATACAAAATGTAACCAACCATTAAAACCACAAACACAAAAGCAGCATAAAATGATATTCAGAAAACAGTCCTCAGGCTAGAAGGAGATCATTAAACAACCAAAAAAAGAAAAGAAAAAAAAGATGGAACTTCTCAAGTCAAAAGCCTGGGTACGAAGAAGTGTTTTGGCCTGGCACCTAAAGGAAAAGTATGTGTGTCAGGCAAACCTCAAGGGGAAGAGAGTTCTAAAGGTGAGACGCCACCTCTGAAAAGGCCCTGACTCTAGTCATCAGCTGTCTTTCCACTGGGAATTGGGGGTACGAGGAGTAGGGCTTGAAAAGAGGATCTCAACCTGTATGGGAGGAGGCGGTCCCTCACGTCACAAAGGTACATCATCCTAACGAAAGACCAAGCCAATAGAAAAAGATTTTTTGTAATTAATTATTCCCCAAGAGCATTTTGAAGAAGAGCCTCTTGAAGTCAATAAAGATGAAAACTGCAAAAATAACCTCCCCAGGAAGGTACTTGCATGCAGTGTTCCCTCTAAGCTGAGGCCTCCGGCTCACACATTTTTGTCTTAGCTCAGAAAGGATGGCTCCAGAGAAACTGATTTATGCAGCAGCCGAACTGCTTGCTTGCAACTTTAATGCTAGTAGCTCACAAAGCAGAATTTCTGCTCACAAGACTCCACAGCTTAGAGGCAGCATTGCTTGCATGGTCTCGATGCCATTGCTGAAAGGGTCCTATGTCATGCATCCACCCATCACACCTCAGACCACTGCAGGAATAGCAGACAAACAGGGGGAACAGGAAGGAGAGTTATAGTGGCAAGAAGGTGGATAGTTCTGATCAGGGCTATTTTTGGGCAGGAACGCACAGGAACGGAGTTCCGGCTGGCTCCTGAGTTGGCCACGCCCAGCAGGAACTCATTAGCATAAGAGGCCACACCCAATAGCAGAAACTCATTAGGATTGGCTACATTAGGGGTGTGTGGCCTAACATGCAAAGGAGTTCCTGCTACAAAAAAAGCCCTGGGTTTTGACAACAAACAAGATAAACAGAATAAGAAGGGAAAGGTGGGGGTGGCTGGATGAGCACACTTCTGGTAACATGGGGGTGTGGCCTAATGTGCTAATGAGCGGTGCTGTCGGGGGTGTGGCCTATTATGCTAATGAGTTTCTGCTAGGCTTTTTCTACAAAAAGAGCCCTGGAACTTCTGATAACCTTATTGCATGCATAGATTTGTATGAGAAACTGAAACTGGCCATTGGTCTACCTGCTAAAGTACAACGCATATGTGGCCACATTTCTGTCCTTCGGGAACACCTTGCTAGCATTTTGATGATGGGAACATGCTGCATCTGACTGGTACAAAGCCACTCCTCAGTAAAAACCTCTAATGTAAGAAGTTTCAAAATGAATCCTTAAAGGCACAATGAAAGCGCAGAGGAGTTTCAAACAGGTCAAGTCCACAGGGGATTCTTGCATGCATGAGAAGGGATGAAATAGAATGCATTTATTCCATTGAACATTTCTGCTGCTACATCTATCATACTGGCCCATAGAACTTGACTGCCATAGTTGATTTACAATCTTTTCTTTCCCCAAAAGTGCAAAATTCAAAATGTAGAAGGCCTCCATTAATAAAGCAGTAAGAGCTCAGATAATCGGGGCGGGGGGGGGGGGGCGTAGCCTAGGCTACTATTCTGACAAATCTCATCCTCCAACCAGGCCAGTAAATTCTGGTACTGCAATCAACCAAGTAAAGCATCTCTTTCTGGGATAGCTTACACGATTTTCATGTCACTGCTTGCAGACCAGTTCCTACTTTATATAAACATGTTCAGCAACAACAACAGTCTCCTCCTTCCAAACTCCAGCTTTTGTTTATTCCCAAGCTGCTGTTTTTCCTACTTCATTTCTTCTTCCTTTCTTCTGTGACTTTCCGAAGCATGTTTCCTAAAATGGTCTCAGCAAGATTTAAGCTACAAGATTTAAGCTAAACTGTCCAAAGCTTTTGAGTAACTCTTGCAAAAACCCAACAGGCAAAACCAGAATTAGCTCCATAATGATTGGGCATGACACTTTGTCTTTTCAGTTGTCTAGAGAAAAGAATGTCATAGAAAATCTTAGGGACCAGTTTTTCATGTACAGGGGAGAACATATGAAACTTGGGCAGGTGTAGTTCCATCTGTCATTTTTTGAACGTCTGAGAAGAACAGTCTATTGAAGTTCTACCTGAAGGCCCAGAACTCAGACCCAAATTCAGTCTAGCTGTCCTATATAAATATGTACGCAAAAATAGTTATTCATAAATATTCTCACTTGTACCACAAAAATACTCCTTCTAAACCATGGGAAATGGGAATTTATTATTAAAAATAAACATGACGCTGGTGCTAGAATTTTGTTGTTTGCACTGTAGGGTCCTCAATTCAATATTAGTCAGTGCAAGTAAAATGTAACTCATGTAATAAAAAATAGCGGCTGTATTCCGCAGCACGAATCACAATGTTCAAGATATGTCCTGAAATAAGGACCAGTTGAAGGAAGGGGGCATGGTATAGCTCGATCTCGTCAGATCTTGGAAGTTAAGCAGGGTAAGCCCTGGTTAGTACTTGGGTAGGAGACCTCCAAGGAAGACTGCAGAGGAAGTCAATGGCAAATCATGGCCCCGGTCACACGGAAAGTTTTGGCCCGGGAGAGGGACGGATCGGGGGCGCAGCAAACGGGTGCAATCTCACCGCAACATCTGGGAAGCGGTACGCACCCGTCCCCGATCCAGCCCTTCAGGCCGAAAACCCGCAGTAAAAAAGAACCACCCCCAGAGGGAACGCCGCATCAAGCGCAGCCATGGGATCGCCAGTGCACCTGTCGTCAGGAGCAATCCAGGCTCCCAGCCGAACTGCGCATGCGCACACATGCGCAGTTTGGCTGCCTCGCTCCCCTTACCTTGCAACCACTGCATGACAGCTACGTCTGGAAATAATTCTATGAGATAGGTATGATTATGATTGTCATTTTTGACATGGGTGGCCAAGACCGGCTAAGCAGGCTCAACCCAGGTTAGTACTTGAATACCACCCAGACTAGGGTCGCTAAGCAGAGGCAAACCAGCTCTGAGTGTCTCTTGCCTTGAAAACCCTACGGGGTCACCACAAGTCAGCTGCAATTTGGCGGCACTTTACACACAAAACTAGTTTCCTTTAAAGATTTTCTTTTTAAAAAGATATATTCAGTTATCTGTAAAACAGAGGTTGCGTTCTTACAACTGGTTTGGACAAAAGTTAGCACAACATAATGAATTTCCATTTTTTTTGGCTTGAAGAGTTGTGAGGTTATTCTCAATATCCACAGATGTCATTTGCAGTTTTTTCCAAGGATATATTTCAGAGAGTTGTGCCTAAATTATCATCCATTAAACATTTTAAAATACAATGCCTAGAACAGAGTCCATCAACATGAAAAATATCTAGCAATATAAGATACACCATACCTATCACCATAACTTAATAACCTTTGAACTGGCTTTGTGAAGATTATTCATTTGTCATTTGAAACGCAATTTAAAAACTTGCTGGATTCTACAGATTACTTTGATACTTTCTGAACAACCTCCGTTTTTAAAGGACCCACACAGAGCTTGTAAGTGTGGCCAGGACTGTACAGAGCTCAGAGATTTTTAAAGTAAGGAGTTAGGAGTTAACACAGTGATACAACAGGAAGCTGAGAAATTCACAGCCCAAGAAGGAGAGAAGGTGGCATGGTATAGCCCGATCTCGTCAGATCTCAGAAGCTCAGCAGGGTCAGTACTTGGAAGGGAGACCACCAAGGAAGGCTCTGCAGAGGGAGGCAATGGCCAACCACCTCTGCTTCTCCTGTGCCTGGAAAGCTCCTTGCTGCGGTCACCTTAAGTCAGCTGGGACTTGACAGCAACTTTATGCACACAAGAAGAACAGAGTTACGTTTGGAGTTTGAAAAGTTCTTGCCCTATCAAAACCCAACTCCGTTCATTTTAGATGAGAACTTCAGACCCTCACTTCCAAGGCGCCCTGAGCTGTAAAAGCTAAATCATGCACTTCGGTAGCATTTAAACTAATTTGGCCAGCATGTTCCCATAGCCCATTTAATGGTTTTATGTGCGTTTCTGACACAGAACATTGTGAATCTTTATGACAACAACTGATCCACTCCAAATACAGTCCCAAATGGTTACATTGCTCTCAATCTACCAAACCGTTCCGGGCGCAGCTTCCAAACCACACTAAAAAAGAACAACACAGAATCCAAAGAACTCCTAGTCAAGTTAGAAAGAATAACCACAGCATGCATATGAGGGTGACCTTTCATAAAAGAATAAGTTACATCATAATATATCAGCATTTTCCATTTTGTCCCACGGTACATGGCTTATTCAGGCAGCCAAATCCTGCTGCAGTCTGTTCTGACCGCAATTCTAACGGAGACAACAAGAAACTGTTCTCTCTTACCTTTCTGGTAAGTGGCACTTCAATAGGAACTGGGACAACTTCCGCAAGGAGGCAGCCATAAAACGCTACCATAAAAGCAGCAGGATCATTGTTGGGGAATACTAGCGCTACCTGTAGAAGGAATATATATATATGCATATATTTAAAAAGCCTCCCCAAGCACGTTTTTTCCACCTTTAGCCAATGCGCAACAAAAGATGTAATATTTACGTGACAGCACTGCAATGTTTTAGCTGAAAACAGAGAGTGAGAAATGAGATTAAGATGTTAACAGGACTACTGGTAAAACTATTTTTCATCTTGGTCTGCTTCCGATTGCTAAAGGATACTATTGATCTTTCACTCAACAGGGGCTGCTTCCATATAGAAGTTTTGTCCCAGTTTGGCATCCAAACTGTTGTTGTTGTTGTTGCATCCATATAAATACTGTCCCTAATTGTGGACTTTCCATGCCACCCCCGCCGGTCTGGTGCAATCTTTTCCCAGCCTGGTTTGATATGATCTTCTTGGAAAGGTTGCCGTCAAAGTGTGTCTGTATGCCATGTGAATGGGAATGTCCATATTTTTGCAGGTCCCATGTATATAGGCACAATTTCCCTGCAGCTGCCTTTCCCTCTGCCTCAGAAAGGCTTTCCCTAAAATTGGCAATTGGCGTATCACTATAGCATTGTAACAATCAATTTCTTACTTCTTCTGAATTCTTGGAAGTTTTCATTTTTAAAAAAGTAAATATTTTTTCTTGGAAGTTTTCATTTTTAAAAAAGTAAATATTTTGCCCTTTTCATAAATATCTCCATAATGAAACGACCTAATAATTTTACCAGACAATTACATTATAATGCTACAGCGATTTGTCACCTGCCGACCCCCCCAAAAAAATGCTCATAGGCCACACATAATTTCTTTCTATTCTTAAATTTCTTCCTTGTTAGGTTCCTAGGCCCTGGGAGAAAAGCAAGAAAACAACTGGCAATTCATCCTTCAGCATCCAGCCTGATGAAGCTCTGTAAAACTCAGAAACATGGACACTATTTGTGATACTTCAGTTGTTCCTAACAAAAGGTAATGGAAAGCAAGTAATTGTGCTGACCAGGATGGTCCAAGCTAACCCCGTCTTGTGAGATCATGGAAGCTGAGCGAGTTGGCCTTGGTTAGTATTTGGATGGGAGACCACCAAGGAATCCCAGGGTTACAATGCAGAGGAAGGTTATGGTAAACTTCTGTTAGCCTCTTGCCTTGAAAACCCTACGGGGTCATCATAAGTTGGCTGTGACTTGATGGCATTTTACACACACACTGAGTTGTGCTGGTCCAAGGCCCATATAATATTTGTGGAGCCCAGGCAGATGCCTACCCAAGAAATGCATTCTAGTTTGTGTGAAAGAGGAGCTGTCCATTCCACCTTCTCCACCGGTGATACAAGACATACATTTTTCCATACGGAGATCCTTATGTTCAGTAGCCCAATTCATGCAGTCATTTTACTTCAAAATAGGGAAAGGAGATGAAGAGATGGCAGAAATAAGGCAATCAAGAGCGGTGTACTTCATTTTGGAAACAATGGAAAACAACAGTTTTATCTCCACAATTAAAAAAAAAACCCAACCAAACTTTTTCTACTTTTAATTGTCTCATTTTGTATGAGTTGAAATCTGTCCATAGCCCTCAGGTTATGGCAAAATAACACTGTAAATCAAGTTTCCAGCAGAGGATCTACTGCAGATGAACACTAGAATAAATTAGAGGCAAAGACAAATACATGCAGAGTGTGCTAAGAAAGAAATCTAGCCACGCTGTCAAGCCTCATCCCCCCAACTTATTTACTCCCAGCTGTATCAGCCCACCGCTATGAGTATGACTTAGAGACTTGAGCACGGTCATAAATCAAGACATGAGATTCTGTGGACTCATCTTGGCTAAATGCCAACGCAGGCAGTGATTTAAATTCAACATCTGCTCATAGTCTCTTAGGTTTAATTCCAATGACTGTCCCGATTTGAGCATTTGAGATGGAAGAAGGTAGTTCATGCACAGAAAGCTCCTGGTGTATAAACTGAAAAGAAAAAGGACAGGGATGAACGAGAAAAGGAACGGGGAGCATGGAGGCTAGGTGCCGCAAAGCAACGGAATGGAAAGGTGATGCTGGCAGGGTGCCAGAACAAAATTAGTTGTGGGGATGGAGCAGGAAAGGACCAAGGCACAAGACT